GTTTAAAAAACATCAAGCTGGGTATCTTTTGTGCAGTTGAGCAAATGATTAACAACATGTCTATGTAAGGAAGTGAAAAAAGTGTTTCATATAATATTAAGATTTAAATACATCTAATAAGGAAAAGTACATCATCCACAATGTACCAACTAACCACTGGAAATCCTTTTCAATCCTGTCTCGAGGTCTAAAGGAGAGGAAGGGTGCAGGGAACGCTAGCACCAAGAGATTCACAAAATTCTAACATAGGGAGTAGCTGCTAAACAATATGCCACCCTCACAGTATGAAACACAGTCCACCCTCTGCCTACAGAGACTCACATCACACATTCAACCAACTGAAGATTAAAAAGGTTTTACTCCAGCCTGTAATGAACACGTACAGAAATTTTGTTTCCTTGCATTATTTCCTAAAAAATACAGTGTAATAGTTGCCTTGTGATTTTTTACTAAAAGAAAAAAACAATGTAAAATTATTCACATAGCATTTGCATTGTAGTAGACATAAGAAGTAGTCTGGATATGATTTAATTCACACAGGAGGATGTGCACAGGTTATATGCAAATGCAACACCATTTTATTATAGTGAGACTTGAGCATTCACGGGATTTGGGAGTCAGATGAGAGTTCTGGAAATAATCTGCAAACACCAAAGATGACTGTGTATTTTACACTTTCAGAATATAGAGTACACACAAACACAAACATTTACACACACAACTATATAAAAAGTTCTACAGAAAAATCATCTTTCCTCTTCATTTCTCTGATATTTTCCATCTATTCTAGTCTGCTCCTTAAAAAATTAAATGCTTGCTGTGTCACTTGCAATTCTTTCTGAAACTGAGTAGGAAAGGAGACCAAGTGCAGGGTCAGGGATAGAAGGTGGAGGTTGGGGATGAGGAGCTCAGCCCCACAAAAGATAACTGGCAATGTTTTGAAATATTTTTACTTGTCATATTGGGAGTGTAGTGCTAATAGCATCCAGCAGGCAGAGTCCAGAGATGCTACCAAGCACTTTTCCATACAAAAGATAGTCCCACAAAGCACACAGTTACCCAGCCCCAAGTGCCAATGGTGATGAAGTTGAAATCTTCCTCTAGATTATTCAAGAAGGAAAACATAACACAATCACAAAGCCAACAGTATATTTTAAGCTCATGAAAAATACAAACATTAAATAAGTAATTTAAAAAACTTGTGTGTGTGTGTGTGTGTGTGTGTGTATATATATATATATAGAGAGAGAGAGAGAGAGAGAGAGAGATACTGTTGTTCTGGTTTAAGACTTACACATAAGGGAACAGACATAAAGTGACTTAAAATGTAGGATAAGATCATGTCATTAGTGAACAACACATTCAGGATTTGATCTCTTAGATTACATAACAGATACTCTTCCTGCTAAACCTCCCCTTTATTCTTGCACAAATAATGATCAAATCACTCATAGATTGTAATTATTAGCATCATATATCAGAACATGGTGAGTGAAGTGATACTGATTTCAAATGTGAGTGAAATTCTTTATATTTAAAACAATAGTATCCATCCAAAGTGCCAAGTGAGTAAAAGAAGAGCCAAAGGTACCAATGTACCAATAAGCCTGGAAGAAAGAAAAAAAAAATACTAGCCAAAATGACAACAGAGAAAAAAAATTAAGTTGAATGAAGTATAAACCTGCTGGGGATTGCTGACAAAATTTTATTATTTGAAGAGCAGGAAAGATTCTGCTATGTAGTAGAAACTATGACATAACAGAGATTGTAAAGAATTCTGCTGTGACAATGTTGCCTCATTTGGTCTATGTAGTGTTGGTTAATATTTTTAAATTAGATTGCTGGTTTGGGGTATATTATTTTTTTGTGATAGTGGGGTTTAAACTCAGGGTCTCACTTGAGGTCCACTGCTTCCCCCTGCTCCAGCCCTTAAATTAGACCCAAATTTGCTTTGCATGCTTTTGAAAGGACATGCATTAAAAAATAAATGAAAAGGAACAGAAAAGTAAAGACAATTAAAACAACTAGTTGTAAAATACATTCTTTAGAGTTAAATTAGTCTACTGTGATAAAACAAAGGGATAATTATCTTTTAAAAGTTGATTGGTCCTCATCAGAATGCTGTCTCTACACATTAATATCCAAGGAAAAGATGTATTTAAATGCCACTAAAACTTTTTTAGTTATTAGGAAGAAATGTCAAATATGAGATAAATTCCAAATATGACTCTGATGCCGTATCTTTAAAGTAGCTTATTCCCAAAATAGAAATTTTCCACAAATAATTTAAAATGTTACTGCACAGATGAAAAGTCAAGATATGATATAGCTCACTCTTGTTCCCATAATTTTTAGGCTCGCAACAACTATGATTTCTCTTCAATTGATTATATTATTGAAGGAATATCAAACAGGAAAAGATTATATTATTCAGATTTCTTTCTCCAAATCTGAAAGTATGATTATACTTAATAAATACATGTTAGCAGAAACTACTCCATGAAACAAACCATGAGACAGGTGACAAAGATGTGAGTGACGTACAGTTTCTTTCTGCATGTGATAAATGTTTGGAAGACTACCACATATAAAAAGCTTTTGGCATTATATTGATACAGTTCTGTTTCTTTCTTTTCCATTTTTATGCAGTAAATGGCGTTACTTCAGAAGAGAATAATAAAAGTAACTACTACATGGATAGAAACCAAACCACCCAAAACAGCAACTATCATTTTTCATCTCTTAATATCATGATGCACCCTGTCAAATGTGGAAAATGACCAAGCTAAAGATTATTATGTACACTTGAAAAAACATTATGACTTAGAGAAAATAGAATTCCTATATATTCCATGACAGAACTGATTAGAATCTATAGTTCTCTTCTACATGGCTACATTTGTTTTTCTCACAATTTTCTCATAACTTATCATATGAAAGCAATGAGTAGGAAATAAATCTATGACCTAATTTTTTCAACTGCATATGCATTTTCCCCAGGGCACTTGTTGAATAATTTATTCCTCCCTCTTGGGTTGTGGTGCTTTCATATATTTATTAGTTTTTTAAATACTATATTAAAATGCCACTGATTCATCTGTCAATTTTTCTATCATACCACACTTTCAATTGTTTTCATTTTATTAATATCTGGTCAGGTGAATTTTCCCTCACTACTGTTAGCTATTCTTACCAATATTATTCCTTGTATATTAACCAGAAAATAAGATTCTAAGGGTTGAATTAGAACTATGTCTAGAATGCTATTAACACTAAGGGATTATTTGGCATTCATCTTTTCAGTATTTAGTTTTCCTAACTAGGAATAAGAATGATCCTTGACTCACTCCTTCCTTTATGTTACCCAGTAGAATTTAATGGTTCTTTATGTAGGTCCTTTCATTTCTTGTTAATTCTTATAGATCACATTTTCTGGGTTTGGTTCAGAATGGATCTACTCTTAATTCATATTTTCTAACTAATTATTTTTGGAATGGTATAAAATTATTAATTTCATCTAAATTCCTTCCCAAATTCCATGCTGATTCTTACGAAAAATGTACTGATCACCAAATATTATGATAAAATTGGGGGAGGAAGAGATGAGGTTGGTACAAGGGATTCATGCTAAGATACTCACCAATCTGGTCTATTTTGTCATACACAAAAATAAATTCCAGAAAGATTAAAAAGTTAGCAGTTAAAAAATAGTAAAAATGGCAATCTATACAGCTAAATATTTAATTGATTTAGACATGAATAAAGGATTTCTAAGGGTGGAAGTGATGGAAAAAAGTCAACAAATTTCCTGTGTTTTTTCTTATGTATTTTATAAAAATATATTTTATGACTCTTGCCTAAATAAATAATTGTAAATGGTAAAAAAAAAATCAACATTTCCAAATAATCAAAGAAAATTAGTGGACAAACATCGAAATAGGAAATAAATTTGTAAGACAGTTAAATGAGATAAAATCCTAAAATATAAAACAGCTCTTACAAATCAATAAGAGAAAACTAGCTAACAACCAAGAGGAAGACTGGCAAAGAGAGTAAAGGAGTTAACTGATGAATTATAAAAGATATCAAACACCCATAAGCATATAAAACATTCAACTTCACAATCAAATTTAAATCAAAGTGGTGAAGTGAGGGCATTTTTTTTGCAGCCTATTCAACTGTGAAAAATTTGATGCATTGAAATCAAAAGCTCAAGCATATCTGGCCAGAGGAAAGAAGGTTAACCAACCTTCTGGAAAGCAATTTCAAAATCTGAATTAAAGCTTAAAATCCAAAGTACAAATACATTTTTTTTTAATTCAGAGGCATAGGCAAAGGTTATAAATAAAGACAAAAATCATAAATATTATTTAAATTAGGATTTGGAAACTGCCTCAAATAAATATTTAGTGTATAGAACATACTGATGACAGAATGTTAGTGCAGCATTTAAAACAGAATTCTAAGGGACACCTAGTGGCTTGAGAAAAGACTGTATGAAATCAATTGAAAAACTCAGGACAAAAAAATCATACCTAGTATGATAACAATTTTATAAATCTTCAAACTATATAGGCCAGGGAAGAAAGATGAAAATATAATAAAAATGTTAACAATGGTTTTTATCTGGAGAAGGGCATACAGACGACTTGCATTTCATTCTTTACACATTGACAAATGTTTCAGATGTTCTGTAGTGAACATACATTTTTACTTCTACAAAAAGACACACAAAAAAGTTATTTTTAAAACTAGACCTAATGGGTTTCCCTTAGATATGCCATTAAATGATGCAAAAAAACTTTCAGAAACAAAGCAATTAAAAGAGGAAAGATTTTTCTTAGACATGACCAACAGAAGATAGTCACCTTTTATGGCCTAAGACTCACATCACCAATATCGAGAAAGATGTGAAGCAGAAGAAGTAATACCTCACTACTGAATGTTTCTCTGAAAGATGAAATCACAATCTCAGCGGAATGAAGGATGGGAGCGCTTACCTTTTTCACTTACACTCTCACTTTCAATCTCCACATCATCACAGCTTGTGTACTCAGGGGTAGAAGCCAATTCCTCCTCCGAGCTGCTCAGTGAAACCTGCCTCATTTTACCTCCTTTCTTTGACTTATGAGGCTTTGGTGGTGGTGGTCTCACCGATTCTGACTGGTCTGAACTGAGAGAATCATTTCTCAGCATGGTCTCCATTTTTTCCCGTTTTGTTTTCCTTACGGCAGAGCTGGGATCTAAGTGGTGTTGCTTCCTTAGTGAGTCAGCTCGCCTCAGTTCTGGTCTATCGATGGGTATCGGACTCCTCCGCGGGGTAGGAGGACTATGGTTTGTGGTCCTTTGTGGATAAGAACTTTGTGCCTGAGCCTCTCGAGTTCTTTCCATTGAGTAAGATCTCTGGTTTTCCATCGCAGCTCTACGCTCAGATATAGACCTTTGCCTTGATGGTCGGTCCATCCTGAGCAGGGAAATCCTGGAATCTTCTAGTTCAGCGTTGGCCAAAGAAACATCGCTATGCCTTCTCTCGTGCCGTGCTCGGGACACTTCAGCATGGATTCGCATTTGCTCTTCATAGGGCTGTGGCTTTACCGGATAGCGGGCCAAGTTTGGGTCACTTCGATAGCGGGCCTGGTACTCCTCCTCTCTCCTTTGCCTTTCATATTCATCTCTGCTCTCCACATCCTCGTCATCCACAATATATTCTTTGGAATGCCTATGACTTCTCCTGTTGGAGTCCCTATAATTTAAATGGTCAGATTCTTCGTAGAACTGAGACTCATGTTGGGATCGTCTGTCACCATAATCTGAGGGAGACTTAGGCATGGTGCTGTCAGAAGGAGCATACTGCAGATATCCCTCTCTTTCTTCCCTTTGGTCGCACCTTCTGTTCTGATCTCTGGACACTGATGGACTTCCTTTCCTAAGTAACCAAAGAAAAGAGCAGCACTTAAACAATGGTACATTTTATCAATTTGTTGCCAGATTGATGGATAAACTCAGATCATTCTCTTGGCCTTCCCCCGCCCCGCCAATTTTAAAGACATACCAGGTCAAATAGGTCATTTAAAGAATATCATGTCGTGGTTATTATCTGCCTACAATACTGTATGTGGACTACACCATGCTCTGAAATCAGATGATGATTACCATATTCTGTTGCTGTAAAACAGGCTTTAAATTATTTGCTTGGCTCGCTACATTTCAGCCATCCCTCAATTATTATTTAGTAGCTTAGAAAAATGGCACTTTCCATTCTCTCTATTCCTAACAGCATCATATGAAAGTTATCTAAAAGCTTAATGACTTCAAACTGACTTGCTTCGAGAGTATTCACTTTCTGACTAAGACTCATTTTTCATTTATCATCTCCCCAGATCACTGCTAATATGGTTCATCTAAATCTTTACCTTAGCATTAAATCTCAAGCCTTTTTTCACTGATTTAAGTAGAGATAATTTAAACAAATAACAACAATAAATATTTATGAATCACAAAAACCCTAGAAGTCAGTCAGGACTGCTACTTTTATTCCATCTTCATAAAGACTAAGGCCCACTTGGCAACACTTCTTCACTTGGTCATCACATCTAATCCCCCATATTTCCTTACAAGGCCTTGAGTTCAAACCCCAGTAACACCAAGAGGGAGAGAGGGACAGAGACAGAGAGAAATAACTGCCATGCGGATTTTGCCAGGACATGAACAAAAGGTAATGACAGAATAGGACCAAATGACACTAAAGATGCCTAAGACTCAACTGCTCAGTTGTAAATTTCTTAAATTTTTTTGAGGGCTGTGAAAAAAACTAAATGTCACAGACCATAATATAGACAGGAACATAGGAAGGAATAAAGCAGTATCCTTGATCTTTAGAAGCTGTGTAATCCTAAAACCCTTTTCCAATTTCTTAGGGACTATGATCTTAAAACATTGGTACCATAATTTCATCAAGTTAAGTTACCCAAATGAAAGCTTAAAGCTTTAAAAATTGTCAGTAATATATCTAGCATCATATTTGATGTGAAAGAAGTATTAAGAAAAAAAGAAATGCTTTTATTCCTATCGTGCAGAAATGAGTTTTTTGAAAATCAGTACAAATAAAGTGAATATAGTTAAATCTTTATAACAAAGAATTCTAAAGAGAATTGATGAATAAGAATATTTAGTTCCTGTCAGAGAATTTAGGTCTAAAAGGAAGGCTATTAATAATTGGCCCTGCCAAGCCATTTAAGTGATTTTTAAAAATCATATCTTAGGAAAATTGAATTTGATATTAAATCCAGCAATGACTTTGTTTCTAGAGATTATGAAATTTGCCTAAAACATGTGAATCATTGTGAAGATGTTTATTCGTACTGGATTTAAGTAGAAACAGAACAGTTTTTAAAATATGAAATTGGGATGACTATTATCACTGTTACTTAAAATGGACATTGGTTTTTAAAAATACACTTTAAAGTATAGCACCTTATGGTATATTGAAACTAAGAGTGAGGCAAGATCTCAGTGTATGATTACCACACAGTGAAGAATTTGCTACCAGTTACTCTAAAATACTGTAATATTTGCAAAATAATTCTACCAACCATATCATAAATTATTTCACATATTGTCTTTTTAATTTTCAAACTTCTGCATCTCTTAGACACTACTGTACTTTCAGGAACTGATGAAAATATAAGTAGTGCAATTCCTAATCTGTGTCTTTGCTACTGGTCTTTATAGCATATATTATTATCAGGTGGAAAACATTTAATAAGTAAATGAAAATAATGATAATTTCCACAGTTCCCTAAAAAAATCACAAAGCATTTAATGCTATTTAGCCCAAAAGTTACCATTCAAAGGAATGAGGTAATTAATCTAGAATGTTATTTACCAATCTTCAAAGACTCTGAGAGATTAAGAGACAGAATTCAAAATCATTTCATTTTTAGAATAAAATGCATGTGTGACATTTTGCAGTGTCTCTTTTTTACTCCCATTAACCCTATTAATTCCCATTTTCTTATATAACAATATCAGTACATATTCTTACTCACTTTATATTTACCTATTATCTTTTCAACTTCTTTTTATTGAAAACTAGTATGTCTTTCACCATGTTATACTGGTCTTAATGGGGAATCAGTTAATAAAATAATCACATTTTAAATACCATAAATCTTCCCTGAGTAGCATTTTTATTGATTGCTTAAAATCCTCCAGTCTATTTGTCACTGTTCTAGCTGTACAGCACACCAAATGTCCTATTGAAGTAAATGTTTTTCTGCACATGCATAATAATTCATATGGAAACACTACCAATCAAACTTTAAAATTTTCATGGCCCAAAAACCACACTGATAAGAAGCTTGTTCCTGATTTAAATCTCTTTTCTAATTTCCCAAAGACAGTATCAGTCAACATATTGTATGTTAATTGATCATGTGTTACCATAATTTCCACCTCAATATTTACAACATTTGCTATCTTATATGGTTTTTGTTACATAGTTTTGTTAACTAACCATAACAAAAGTAATCATCAACTCTCTGAAAAAAACAAGCAAGTAAACATTTAAAAACATTTATAGAGAGTGAAAAACAAGATGAAAAGTTAACTTCTAATATCCTTATATTTTTAACTATTAACTGAAGACATGCAATTTTAAGAATCATAATGACATTGAAAATGGAGTGAACAATTTGATTTTCTGTAAATTCAAATTTTATATTATTACAATTACATACTACCTATATGAAAATCTCTTACAATCTTTATTAGCATAGGCTGTTAAAACTATCATTTTACAAATGAAAGGATATAAATGATAAATGAAGACTCAATTATCTGAAAAGATAACTTCCATCCTTTTAAAATTGTAGAAAGCATGGATATTGCAAATAAATGAAAATAATACTTCATAAATACAAGTACACACTGGAAATCATGTATTTAAACATACATTGAATCAAGTTATGTTGAAAGCTAAAGCTGAAATCTGCTAAAAACAGTGTATCAAGGGCTTATCATAAGCACTTGATGCTGCAGAACATGAAATACATGGGATCCATTCCTATAGTTCCTACAAAGAGCTTTTAATAAATCATACAATTCACATTTATCAAAAACACAGAATGAATAATTCTTACCTATCACAGTTAATATTTACATTTTTATTTTTACCTTTTGTTCAACCAGTGCACATCTGTCAAGCACGAAGCATCATGTTGACGAAAATACATCAACACTGTGCCAGGCAGTGCTTCACTTAATCCTTCTAGCCTAGCAAAATCATAGGGGCCATCCGTTAATCAGATGGTTTGAGTCTGCCTTTGCTTACAATCATTTTATTACAACCTCAATTGCTAAAAAGTTACATGTAAAACAACACTCATCTGAGGATGAAGTCAAAAACATCCTCTAGTGATGGGTCTGCTAAGGACACATTATTCTTTAATGCCGTTGCTATGTGGCTGTATATAACTCCAGGTCAAGTAAGAATGTACCCTGTAAGAAGGATTATAGTTCTTAGCTGATTAGTGCCTCAGACACTGAACACCAAATGCAATCTAGACCCAAGGTATTTCTGGACACTATACTTAAAACTGGCAGCTTTAGAAATTTATAAACCATGTTTTCCTCTATGAATTCATTGTACTTGTTTGTTATTGATAATTTTGTTGCTTGGCTTTTGACATAAAATATACAGTGCTGATACAAGGTGGTGACTTTCAATGGGCCTATTCTGTAACTTCTTCTCAATGAGTAGACAACCAAGTTTTATAATGCATACTACAAAGACAGTATTTCCCAAGAGCTGCAAGAAGCAACAATGGAAATTTAATTTAAAAAAATAATATGACCCATGAACTAAGAAATGGATTAGATAATCTACTTTGTTTTTATTATCATATATAATTGTCTTATATCCATATGTACATATAATGTACTTTGATCAAATTTACCTCCTCTATTGCTTTCTTATCTCCCCTCCCTCACTTTATAAAACAATTTTAGTGGGTTTCATTGGTGAGTATAAAGTACTTCACCTTCAACCTCCACCTTCCCACTGGTCCCCATCCAAAAAAAGTAGTCCCCACATATGAGAGAGAACATGCAATATTTGTCTTTCTCTGTCTAGCTTATTTCACTAAACATAATGATCTCTAATTCCACCCATTTTCCTGCAAACAACATAATTTCCTTTTTCTTTATGTCTGAGTAATACTCACTATACAAACCGAATTTAAATCAAGCTTGGTTCATGTTAATTTATTGCTTAAACATCTCACTGTCTGCATTCAGTCATTCAAAAAAATAAAAAAGAGAATAACTCCACAGATCTTTTCAAAAGATCTATCAAAAGCCTAAAGGTTATTGTTATACTTCTGAGAATTATATTTAAATGATTCCAAATAAGCTTAAATAACACTTAAAAAACAATGTCTGACTTAGTTGTCCCTCTTCAGTAATTGCAACTGATCCCAAGGATGGAAGGAAGAAGAAGAACTGAGTAGGAAAAAGAAAAGAAGTCAATCACAAATCTTCCATGAATGTATCAATCTTTGATGTTCAAGTCTTACTTGATTAATGAACTTTAATTTAAGTAAAATAGAGGAATTTTGCAGTGTTCAAATGCAACATTAAATATTTATATTAAATCTTTGTTAATCATTAAAAAAGTGTCTGAGATGTGAGGAGAGAAAATAAATTACTATGTTATTTTAAGTCTCCTAAAAATCAAGTTTAACTGAGAGAGTGCAAATGTATAATAGCACAATTAAACCATTTGTAGTTGCAGTATTCATTTATAAAATTTTCTTCTAGAATTAAGGGTAGGTCTTAGAAAGACTGAGGAGTCAATGAGAGAAACTAATGCAGATACTTTAAAGCAACAGAGGCCAATAGGAGAAGGGGACCAGGAACTAGAGAAAA